ACATTGCTTTATATATATATATATATATATATATTCATGAACATGAATAATGGTGGTAGTCAATAATCAATGGGACTTATTTAATGGTGGTAGTCAAGACTGAATGTTGTGTTGTATACATGTTCTGTTAGGCATAAAATCCGACCTATTTAACTGAAGCTGAACCAATATAATCTTGAGAGACTAATGATAAACAGCACAAAAAAAAATTCTGTAAAAGATAACAAATTTGATGTGTTACTTTTATATTAGAAGATAATTTTGTTTCATTACCTTCCTTCAATGGTGATGCGTGTTTTTATTGTTGAATTTGAATTGTGTTTATTACTTTCGTACTAAACATATAACAGATTCATGAGATCCATTCTCATGGACATGTCCAACATCCTTTGTTTATTTTTTAAAAAAACATTAGAAAATATTTTAATATATAAATACTTAAATTTTACATGAATTAAATAATGTGAAACTTATTTTAAAATAGACAGTCATATATGTCACAAATATGCAACAGAATGTGCATATCAATTTCTTAGTAAGGATCATCGTTATAATTGTCATTTTATGTTGCACATGATGTCGTATTCTCATGGCAAACTTTTGTTTTTGCCGATGAACTCTTTAGCCCATGTTTGTTTCGCTGATTTACTATTCACGACGAAAGAAAGGTGTAGAAAGTGCACGTTTATTTTTGCTGATTTACACCGAAAGAAAAGTGAAGAAAAGCGGGAGAACCCGTGTTGCGTTCCTCGCGCTTTTGGAAAGAAAAAAGATGAAAGCCACCTAAGAATCGAGAAAACCCAATAATATTCCTGCTCCAAAGACTGGAGTCACATAATCGATTATGCATAGCACATAATCGATTATACCTCAGCATAATCGATTATGCCAGCCCATAATCGATTATGTGTCATACATAATCGATTATGGTAGCATATTTTTGCAAATATGCGAACTTAGAACGGGCCGTTCCACTTTGGGAACGGGCCGTTCCTCTTTGGGAACGAGCCGTTTCACACATAGCAGTTGTGGGTTAATTTGTAATCCCAGAACGGGCCGTTCTGGTCTGAGAACGGGCCGTTCTGATCATATTTAATTATTGTTTACTTAAAAATTTCTTAATTTTTTAATTGATAAAAATTAACTTGTACAATTAACAAATGTATCTTCATTTCATTCTAATTTATGTCAATGATTTATCAATTTTTTTAATTTATTATTTAACTTTCAAAAATTTTATTCTACATTTTTTTATATTAAGAAAATTCTATTATTTAAATATTGACATAAAAAAGTGAAAATATAAAAAAATAAAGTAATACATGTTTATAAAATTAAAATAATAACACATTCATAAACATTAATAAAATAATGTTAGAAAATATAATTATGATAATATATTTTGTTATTATTATTTATTATTATAAATATTATTATTATTATCATTATTATTAATATTATTATTATTTATTAAAATTTTATGATTCTTATTATTTTTTTAATATTTATTATTATTCTTATCATTATTTATTAATTTTTTAATAAATTATACCTATTAATATAATTTTATTGTAATTATTATTATTTACAATAAATAATATTATACTCATTTTTAATCCAAGAGTAAAAGTGTAAATTACATATTTATTTATTTAATTTTTAATTTTTATCTATCATTAAATTTAAAGCAAATACTTAAATTAAATTATTTTTAAATTAAGATTTTATATTTATTTTTTTAGTTAAAATTTTTATATTTATCTTTTAATTATAATAATTATAAACTCTTTTTAACCCAAGGGCAAAATAGTAATCTTACAAAATCATCAATTTAAAAATTTATTTTTATTTATCACTTCAATCAATTCCTTCACAAATTTTCACAAATTTTCTCTATACTTCCCATTCACTTTTTCTTAATCCAAACAACTTCACCTTCCACTCACTTTTCCTTCAAATCTTTTTTTATCCACTTCTCCTTTTCATCCTCAAATACAAACAAAGCAGAGTTTAGAAGAGTAACGTTAGACTTGCAAAAGAGAAAAGTTGAGAATCATTTTGCTTTAGACCAATTAAGTGTCCTTTGCGGTTGGATTCACGATGTTTCGAAAATTAACTTTATTTATAAGTAAAATCATTTTGAAGCAGCTTTATTAAGAGCAATGCACGAGCACAGTGGCTAAACCCTTAACCATTTAAATTAAGGAGTTTAGTAATTAGTAAACGATTTATGCCCTGAGTCATTGGTATTCAAGCTTAGTTCAGCAGCATCAAGGAATGGATCATGTTTTCGTACAAACCAAAGCCGCAATTGCTGCTGAGTCCGAGTGGTCTAAAACGTTGCATGCACCCATCTTCAGCTTCAGCTTCAGCCACCACCAACTCATTCAATGCCATTATCAACCACCATTCATCCCATGGTGCTCACCGTCAAGTTCTTGCAACCTATGCCTCTATGCTCAAAACCCATGTCCCTTCTGACGCTTACACCTTCCCCAGTCTTCTCAAAGCTTGTTCTTTTCTTAACCTCTTTTCCCTCGGTCTTTCCCTCCATCAACGCATCCTCGTTAATGGGTTGTCCCTTGATGCTTACATTGCGTCTTCTTTGATCAATTTCTATGCCAAATTTGGGTTCCCTGATACTGCTCGAAAAGTGTTCGACTTTATGCCAACTAGAAACGTTGTACCTTGGACTACCATTATTGGGTGCTACTCGCGCTTGGGTCATGTTCCTGAGGCCTTTTCTATGTTTGATGAAATGCGTCGCCAGGGGATTCAACCCAGTAGCGTAACCGTGTTGAGCTTGCTGTTTGGAGTCTCGGAGCTTGCTCATGTGCAGTCTTTGCATGGTTGTGCAATTTTCTATGGATTTATGTCTGATATTAACTTGTCAAATTCCATGCTGAATGTGTATGGGAAATGTGGAAAAGTTGAGGATTCTAGGAAATTGTTTGATTACATGGATCAAAGGGACCGGGTTTCGTGGAATTCGTTGATCTCGACCTGTGCCCAGATTGGGGAACTATGTGAAGTTTTGCTACTTCTCAAGGCAATGAGGTTACAAGGTTTTGAGCCTGGCCCACAGACTTTTGGGTCTGTTTTGTCTGTGGCTGCATCAAGGGGTGAGTTGAAATTGGGAAAGTGCTTCCATGGGCAGATTTTGAGAGCTGGTTTTGACTTGGATGCACAAGTTGAAACATCATTGATTGTGTTGTACTTAAAAGGTGGGAACATTGACATTGCATTTAGAATGTTTGAAGGGAGTTCGGATAAGGATGTGGTTTTGTGGACAGCAATGATATCAGGCCTTGTGCAGAATGGATCTGCAGACAAAGCACTAGCTGTTTTCCGACAGATGTTAAAATTTGGAATGAAGCCGTCTACTGCTACCATGGTCAGTGTAATCACAGCTTGTGCACAACTTGGAGGTTTTAATTTGGGGACATCGATCCATGGATATATATTAAGGCAGGAATTACCATTGGATATTGCTACTCAGAACTCTCTTGTTACCATGTATGCAAAGTGTGCTCACTTGAATCAAAGTTCCATTGTATTTAATAAGATGGACAAAAGGGATTTGGTTTCATGGAATGCAATAGTTACTGGATATGCACAAAATGGCTATGTTTGTAAGGCCTTGTTTCTTTTTAATGAAATGAGAACTGATCATCAAACACCTAATTCAATAACTACTGTCTCCCTCCTACAAGGGTGTGCATCCACAGGACAACTCCACTTGGGAAAATGGATCCACAGCTTTGTGATAAGAAATGGCCTTAGGCCATGCATCTTGGTTGACACTTCATTAGTAGACATGTACTGCAAATGTGGTAATTTGGATACTGCCCAAAGGTGTTTCAACCAGATGACAAGTCATGATTTGGTCTCATGGAGTGCCATAATTGCAGGATATGGTTATCATGGCAAAGGGGAGACTGCATTGAGGTTATACTCAGAGTTCCTGGAAAGTGGGATGAAACCCAACCATGTGATTTTCCTCTCAGTTCTATCTTCTTGTAGTCATAATGGACTTGTAGAGCAGGGTCTGAACATCTATGAATCAATGACCAAAGATTTTGGGATTGCACCAAATCTTGAACACCATGCTTGTTTAGTGGATCTCCTTAGTCGTGCTGGGAGGGTAGAGGAGGCATATAACTTGTACAAGAAAAAGTTCTCAGATCCTGTACTTGATGTTTTAGGCATAATCCTTGATGCTTGTCGAGCAAATGGTAATAATGAACTTGGCGATACAATTGCCAATGATGTTCTCATGCTGAGGCCTATGAATGCTGGAAACTACGTACAATTAGCACACAGCTATGCTTCAATTAACAAGTGGGAAGAAGTGGGTGAGACATGGACCCATATGAGATCTCTTGGCTTGAAAAAAATTCCTGGCTGGAGCTTTATTGACATACATGGAACAATCACTACATTTTTCACAGATCATAACTCACATCCCCAGTTTCAAGAAATAGTTTGTACACTAAAAGTTTTGAGAAAGGAAATGATCAAAAAGGAGGAAGTGGTCATTAACCTTGAAATATCACAATAACATATGCTGAAATGGTAAATAGGAGCGTTTCCAAACCTGACCGGCACTCATGAAGGGTCCTGAAGCCGCCGCAATGGTTTTGGATTTCCATCAGAGATTTTGACCCATCACTTTATTTTCTTTTTCTTTTTTTGGTTGAAATGGCGTCGGATTTCTATCCAAGTCTTGTATACATTGGGCAGATCACTTACCATGAAGAAAAACATTCATGCAATCTTGCGAGTAGTTTTTAGCAACAATTTTAGTATGAAAAAGGGGTTGCTCGAGACGAAAATGAATATATTCAACCTTATACCTACTTAGAAAGAAAGAAGCCGTTCTTGAGTTTTGAATCCATAACCTTCAAATCCCAAGCCAATAACCTTATTGTTGTATCAACTCTCAACACCTTTCGTTTTTAGTATGGAATAATTCGTTGTAAAATATTTTTTCAATGAACCATTAGATAATACTATTATTATATTTATATTGTTTTAAACATTTGAAAAAGTATTAAAACGGTTTTCTCAACTTCCTTTAAATACATGATTGTTATAAATTTTTTTTAAAATTTAATGGTTATGCACTAATAATAGTGTGTACATTTGTTTTGTGTTCATAAGTGAAATAACCACCCTTTAATCAAATGAATTTGATATACAATATAGTTATGCTTTGTATTTTCCAGTTATTACATTAAAAATAATCAAATTTCTTTTAATCAAAATCTCCAAATAGCCATAGAGAAAATGTAATATGTAGTATAGGTAAATAATTTCAAATTACAAATGAGGTTAAAATAATTAAACTGCAAAAGGTAAGTCTTACAAAGCGAACAAGCAAGTAGGGGTGAGCATTAAACCGACACCCGAACCGAACCCGAAAAACCCGATAAAAAATATTGTTTTTGGGTGGGTTCGGGCGGGTCTTATGGGTAAATCGGGTTAAAATTTTGATTTTATACGGGTTATATTGGGCGGGTTCGGTTTTGAATTTTTAAACCCGCCAAAAACCGAACCCAACCGAAAATGAGATAAGTTTAAATTTTTATTACTTTTGTATAACTAAACAACAATGGTCCAAACTTAAAAGTCTTTATTTCAAGTATAATATAGCCATCAATTTGTAACTTATTTTTTTCCTTTTTCTCATAACTTAGATATTTATTTTGTCTTCTCCTTCCTCATTCAACTTCTCAACACACTAGTCCATTTTTAGAGTTATCTTTTTGCTTCTTTCTTTGTCTTTCTTTTCCATCTTCTTATCTCCATTTTGAGTACATTTTGTGTGACTGTGATTTCTTATGATTTTGTAATCTAACTTTATATTTCTTTTCCATGTAACAACTATGAATTTTGTTATCTTTTATTTTTGCTTCTTTAGTTTGTAAATGTTTCAACTACGAATCTACTTACACCATCTATTGTCACCTTCATTCTATTTTTATACACTATTTTAAAAATATTTTTTTATTGTTTTAAGCATCATCTTTCTTAAGATAAATTGGTTTACAAAAAAATTCAAACCCGATTATACCCACCCGCTTAAATCCGAATTCGTTTCAACCCGAACCGCCTCAAATCGAAAGCTCAGTCGGTCGGATATGGGTCACATTTTTTCAAAATCGGTTTACAATGGGTTGGACATTTTTCACCCGAACCCGACCAAACCCACCCGTTGCTCACCCCTACAAGCAAGAGTCGCACACTTTTCATGGTACTGTATACAATAAATCAATAATACAAGGTTGAGATAATAATAATAATAATATATTAACAATAATAAAATGACCAAAAATGAGGAGGGAGAGAGAGAGGCTATATATAGAACAGAAGCATGGTACGTAAGAGTCACACACGTAAACATGCGGGTGCAGAGTGAGAGTGAGAGAGATACGCGAATCTTGAAAGCAAAGGTTAACTAGGAATTAGTTTAGATCTAGAAAAGTGAAAGATGAATAGGAAACAGCAAAGGGCGTCGAAATTGTTGATATGGATTCTGGGACTCTTTCTTGCCACTTACATTGCTGGACGACCTTTGTATTGGCATCTCAATGAGTCCCTCAATTCCACCTCTTCTCCTTGCCCTCCTTGTCACTGTGATTGCTCTCTTCAACCCCTTCTTTCTCTCCCTGAAGGTTCACCCTTTTTTTACCTTTTATTTTTATTTCATTCAAAAGGATAAAACTTATATTCACTATCTATTTTCGTCCTTTTTTTCAATTAATAAATATCATGCATATTACTTATGTTGTTATATCTTACAATTTAGTTTTCTCTCATTTTATGAGATGATGTTTCATTCAGAATATGTATAGAATTTACTGCCACGTTGAGTTTTTAAAAAACTTGGGATGTGTTTGATTACCCCTCATAAAGTCATTGTGAAGAAGGGGGAAAAAGTGAAAGAAATTTATTGCAATGAAAAATCAAATACATTGTTGCACTGGGTTGTGAATTTTAACTAGGAATATATATATATATATATAT